ATCAACAGACCCTCCAAGTGTTCCTATTTTCCAAGGACGTCCCTGATTTAGAAAAGCCATCCTGGTTTCTGATTTGATCCCGATTCTCCTGCTTTTCCTTAGGCTGTCCCTGTTTTCCTTGGAGAAATGTTAGAGGGTATGGAGTTATCCAACCCCTGAGCCGTCTGTAGGCAATCCTGTATAGGGAAGTTTTTTGATGTTTTCATAAATGTTGGCTGCCCAGAGTGCTGGGCCAACTCAGTAAGATGTGTGGGGTATAAATAGTAAAATTATCATAATGGAATGGGACATCCCTATTTTCATCGCAGAAATGTTGGAGGGTATGCATGAATGTTATGGTAAGGGGCCATAGCTTAGTGGTAGAAGTATACAGAAAGTCCTGAATTCAAATCCCAATGACTTAAGTTAGGACTACAGAGCTGTCTGACAAGAGCATCTGATGCCAGACAGTATTATCAGCCAAGCAAGATGGACCAATGATCTGACAGGATCAGCATCCTATGTTTCTATGATGCTAATTCATGGAATTAGCAATACTACTCCTGAGATCTGCATGCTGAAGACAATATAGCAGTGGCTATGATTATTTTGGGCTCGGGGGCTTAGTAATAATGACCTATGAAAATCAGGCCTAACAGACTTGTTTGGGAGAGCCAGCAATGACTACCCCTGTTGCAATTGTTATCTATACTTATAGAATGATTTAAAGGTAAAAATGGCAACCTTGGGGCTTGGAATGCCAATATAAAGAAAAAAAAGAGTTATACACACAAGCTACCTGTCAGGGAACTGACATCGGAGCTAGAGGCAGAGGGGAGGCTCTCAAATGATGCTGGAGAAGGGCCCAGCAGGGAGAGAGGCAGCTCAGCAGATGGGGAAGCAAATCAGCGCAACACCAGAGATAAAGGGGGCAGATGGGGGAATCGGCGAGAGGGCTCCAGGACTCTTCACCGGACACCAGCGGGGAGAGCACGGGTCATCCGCTACCCACGCCCTCCCTGCGCAGAAGGCTTCCGCGCAGGGAGAGTAGGAGGAGACTTGGCGTCAAACAACTTTTATATTGGAAAAGGTTTAAGAAACGCCCACTGACGGATTCTGCTAGCGACTGAGGCAGCCACGAAGTGAAGGGCTGTCCAGACAGAAAGGTTTAAACAAGGCAACATAGCCAGGAGAGGCGGCAACTTACGCACAAGCAACCCATACTCATTACACTACCTGCCCCACATTGCCCCATTGGCTAATTGTATGAATAATTCTTGCTGTTTGCTGCCCTGGGTTCCTTCAGGAAGAAGGGTAGATAGATGATAGATAGATAGATAGATAGATAGATGATCGATAGATAGATAGATAGATAGATAGATAGATGATAGATAAAAATTGTATGTAGAAGAGAGTCAAGTCCCATACAGCACTATATTTCTACGTTTATAAGTATTAATGTAGAAGTATTTTTATTCAATTATACACTTTGTGGCATATATCTATTTATGTACCAGTTACTTAAAGAAACCTGGAGTACAGTGGTGCCTCGCAAGACGAAATTAATTCGTTCCGCGAGTTTTTTCGTCTAGCGAATTTTTCGTCTTGCGAAGCACGAAATCCCATAGGAATGCATTGAAATCCAATTAATGCGTTCCTATGGTCAAAAAAAGTCCAAACAAAGCCAAATTTTGTACAACAAGAGTTTATTAAGTGCTCTTTAAAGTCACACATACTGTAAAGAGCATTTCAAAAATTGAAGGAACAATAAATTAAGTTTCTAAACATGACAGGAAAAACATTTAAAAATCAACAAAGTGTACATTACATTTTCTAAGACTCTGGGGGACCACTCGAAGAAGGTTCCTCTTCCACTCTTTGCTTCTTGCTGAAGAACCTGTCCATGGTCTGCTGCTTCATCCGCCTTTTCAGCACCTCCCTGAAAGGCGACATGACCGTCGTATCAAAAGTGTTCGCAAGGTCATGTGCCACGTGCTTGTTAGGGTGGTTCCGCTCTGCAAAAGCCTGCACATCCTTCCACTTCATGCAAATGTCCCTCAGTTCTTTGGAGGACAGCCGTTCCTCAGTTGCTTCCTCCTCTTCCAGCGAGGCCTGCTCCTGCGCAGCCTCTGCCTGCAGTTCGACCAGCTCCTGGGTGGTCAGCTCGTGGTCGTGCTCCTCCACCAGCTCGCAGACGTCCTCCTCTGTGACCTCCAGGCCCATGGTCCTCCCCAAGGCAACAATGTCCTGCACCACTGTTGACTCTGGTGCATCAGAGTCACTTGGTGCCACACAGTCCGGCCACAGGCTGCGCCAAGCGCAATTCAAATTTCTCTGGCTGATCCCTTTCCAGGCCGTGGTGATCATCTTCAAGCAGGTGACGATGTCGAAGTGGTCCTTCCAGAATTCCCGCAGGGTGATGGTGGTGCAATCAGTCACCTCGAAGCATCGCCTGAAAAGCTCCTTGGTGTAGAGTTTGTTGAAATTGGCGATGACCTGCTGATCCATCGGCTGGAGCAGTGGCGTGGTGTTAGGCGGCAGGAACATGATGTTGATGAAGCTGAACTCCTCCAACAAGTCCTCCTCAAGGCCTTTAGGATGAGCAGGAGCATTGTCCATCAGAAGCAAAGCCTTCAGCGGCAGGTCGTTGTCCAGCAGGTACTGTTTGACAGCAGGGCCAAAAGCAAGATTGACCCAGTCCACAAACAGCACACGTGTGACCCAAGCCTTACTGTTGGATCGCCACATGACACTCAGCTGCTCCTTGTCGACCTTGTGTTTCTTGAAGGCCCGTGGGTTCTCCGAGTGGTACACCAGCAGGGGCTTGATCTTCAGGTCGCCGCTTGCATTGGCACAGAAGAGCAGGGTCAGACGGTCCTTCATGGGCTTGTGGCCAGGCAACTTGGCCTCCTCCTGAGTGATGAAAGTCCTTTTGGGCATCCTCTTCCAAAACAGCCCAGTCTCGTCGCAGTTGAAGACCTGCTGTGGAACGTAGCCCTCCGTCTTCACAGCCTCCAGGAACTCCAATGCAAAGTCTTCAGCCGCAGGAACATCAGAACTGGCAGCCTCTCCATGCCTGACCACGCTGTGGATTCCAGATCTCGTCTTGAACCGGTCAAACCAGCCTCTGCTTGCCTTGAAGACTTCTGGCTCGCCTGAGGTTCCTGGCTGTTCCCGGACGAGGTCTGCGTGCAAGGCCTTGGCCTTCTCACAAATCACGGCCTCAGTCACTGTGTCCCCTGCACGCTGCTTCTCTTCTAACCAGATGAGCAGCAACTTCTCGACCTCCTCCAGAACAGCTGGGCGGTTCTTCACGATCCTGGTGACTCCCTTGGCTGCATCAGTCGCAAGGATCTTCTCCCTCATCTTCAGGATGGTGCTGATGGTCGATGGGTTCCTGCCGTACTCCCTGGCGAGGTCTGTCACACGCATTCCACCGTCGTGCTTCCGGATGATCTCCTTCTTCATTTCCAGCGTCACCTTCTCCTTCTTCCTCTCGCCGGCCTCTGCAGCAGCAGTCTTCTTGGGTCCCATGGCAGCACAGCTCCTAGCTTCGTAAACTCAGGAAAAGAAATAATCAGTGATTCACACCCAAAAAATTCAAAAGCACCCAGCCACCCACCACACAGGAATTCAAACCCAGAACCAAGTCCTTGAATTCCAAACACCCAACCCAAAATCCAAAAACCCCAAAAAAGTTTTAAAAGTTTAACTTACGAAATGGCTGCAAATCACCAAAGTCTTCAAAATCCTCAAATGGCTGCAAAAGAAGTTTTGGAAATGCTTTAAAAATCACCAAAGTCTTCAAAAACCTCAACTGTTCCCCCAGCCACCCACCCACCACACAGAAATTGCAAACCCCTCCCCAACTGTTGCAAACCCCTCCCCAACTGCTCCCCCAGCCACCCACCACACAGAAATTCAAACTCAGAATTTTTTTTTTGAAAAAAAACAACATGGCCCAATGGTCACAGAAAATCATAAAAATGCAGAAAAACCCACACAAGCTCCCAGATTCTTGCAACCCCTCCCCAACTGTTCCCCCAGCCACCCACCACACAGAAATTCAAACTCAGATTTTTTTTTGAAAAAAAACAACATGGCCCAATGGTCACAGAAAATCATAAAAATGCAGAAAAAAACCACACAAGCTCCCAGATTCTTGCAAACCCCTCCTCAACTGTTCCCCCAGCCACCCACCACACAGAAATTCAAACCCAGATTTTTTTAAAAAAAAAACAGCAGAGTGGCCCAATGGTCACAAAAAATCATAAAAATGCAGGAAAAACCCACACAAGCTCCCAGATTCTTGCAAACCTCTCCCCAACACCAAGTCCTTGAATTCCAAACACCCCAACCCAAAATCCAAAAACCCCCCCAAAAAGTTTTAAAAGTTTAACTTACCAAACGGCTGCAAAAGAAGTTTTGGAAAAGCTTCAAAAATCAGCAAAGTCCTCAAAAACCTCAGAAAAGGCTACCACACCGCGTGCAATGTGTTGCTCCTCGAAGTCAAGTCGCAACTGCACCTCTTCAAGCAATGCACCCTGGGTATTAACGGTTTTACGAAAAAGGAAACAAACTTGCAAGACGTTTTCGTCTTGCGAAGCAAGCCCATAGGGAAATTCGTCTTGCGAAGCAGCTCAAAAAACGCAAAACCCTTTCGTCTAGCGAGTTTTCCGTCTTGCGAGGCATTCGTCTTGCGGGGCACCACTGTATATATGTGTCTGATGTTACATGTACAGTTATGCATACACTACTGTAAAATTGTTTGCTATTGTAGCAGAACAATTAAAAAACCCTTTGTGTCTTGTCAAATTCAAGGAGTAAAAGGAGAATTAGGGCTTCAACATTTTCAGAAAACAGTGTAGCCACCCCACATTATGCCACTCTAAAACTGTTGCACAGTAGTCAGTGGGTGGCAATACTTCACCACAAAGGAGAAGAGCAACACTTTGCTAGACTTTGCTGTGCCCGTCTAAAAGGGTTCCAGTGAACGTACGGGGGCATTGCAATCTGCCCTACAAATGAGTTCATTGATCATATAATGATCTTGTGGGTTTCAAACCTGGATGCTTTCCAACTCTGCCTGGAAAGATTAGATCAGAGGTTTTTGACATTTTAAAAATAATAATACTAATATTACTACTAGTAAAAGTAAAATAAAATACTATATAGACACACAGTTTTTTTTTTAAAAAAGTGAAGACCCAAAAGAAAGAACTTCATTGAAAGAAAACCCTAATCAGATAACCATTGTACAACCCACAGATTGATTTATCTACCATTTATGTACTCTTGTACTTACTGTACATTCATCTCAAAGGAGGACAAAACAGGATTTCATGTTTATAATTAGCACTAATGTACTTCACTGTCATGCTTAAGCCAAGCAAATGTGATTGCAGGAATGCCTACGGTCAGTGGTGTGCGCTCGCTCTCTCTCTCTCTCTCTCCCTCTCTCTCTCCAACTCACCCTGTCCCTAGGTATACTTGCAAAATGGAATATGATTTTTATGGGAACTGTGTGTTTAGGATAATTGAAGCAGAAAGCTGATTGTTTGTCTTAATTTAGGAAAAGTTCAAATATTTAAAACACACAAGATTATGGAATTGATATGGAGAAAGAGCAGATGTTGACTGTAGAACAGCTGTAAGGCACATTTTTCGCCTTCCCCCCTTCCTCCCCTCCTCCCCGCACACCTTTGGACACCAAGCAGCACAGTCACCAGCTCAGAGGTTTCATGACCTCCAAATGTAGTTAACCAAGTGGCCGGACTCTGCTCCTTTGAAAGAGCGGAGTGATAAACTGGAAGCGAGGCATCTCCTGTCTCCCAAATGAAGCAGCAAGAAATGCCCAAAGCTGCTCTCAGATATCATGTTTGCATCACTGTGAAACAGTGGCAAATCCGACCCTCCTAATGAACTGATTGGGTTTGTGGAACCAGTGCTTGTGTTCAGGTGTATTTTTAATTTTAATAATTCCATGTCTGGTGCCAGACAGCTAGCATGCCACATTTATTTCCCAGCAGACAGATGATTTTGCTTCCCATTCATTCATCTAATAGAGGGATGGTTCTCCGACCCCTGGCTGAATTAGTGCTATGGCAAAACCTGCCCTCTAGTTTCTTGAAACTTGTCTTCTGTTTTTTTAAAGGCTCCAGAGTTTGTTTGTTTTTCTCTCTTTTTGCCTCATTTTCAGGGCACTGTAGATTTTTTGTTCATGTGGGGAAGGGTATACTTTACTGTTTTGAGATGGCTGAAGGTAGGATGTGTGCTTTTCTGCCCATTAAACATTCTCCAGCATTCTGTAGCCTGCCCACCTGCCCATGCTTCCTGATCTGAAAAAAGCTGCATGAGAGAAGTTACCTCATGGTATCTCCTCCTCGGTTTTTATTGAAGCAGGGGAAGCCAAAGAGAACACAGCTACTGAGAACCTGATAGTAGCGCAGCTGCTGACTTTGTTTTTAAGGGAAGTTCTTCCTCTTACCTCATGGAAGGTGGTTTTCTGCCCTGGTTTCTTCAAAAGTAAATAAAGATAATAAAACACATTTGCAAATAATAACAGCCTCCACACATCCCCATGCTTACAAGAAATCTCCAGTGAGTATGTATCGGGATTCTAGGAAATATGTGCAGCCAGGAAGGCTGCAGAATGTAGTGCACTGAAGAAATGATTGGTAGAATGAAAGAAAGGAGACTCAAAAACACCTCTCAGCCACCTCAAAAACAAGTAAAGCCAAACAGAAAGCCCAACACCATGCCCACAAGAATTTATTTGAATATTTTGCTGCAGGCAGAAGTGCTTCTGAATGTTAATTGCAGTAAAACTGCAGGAGAGTCGTGTGGTCTTATGTTCAAATCCTGTTTGTGGGTTTCCCCCAGACATCTGACCAGCCACTGTGAGAACAGAGTGCTGGGCCAGATGGGCCATTGCTCTGATCCTGCAAGTGCTTCTTATGACAGATCCCTTCACTATATCCATTTTGGCAAAATATTTTTTGCTTAGGCAAGTCTATTGAGGCATTTAGCATATCGACATGTGTTTTAATCTGGTTTTTTAGCTTATGATAAAGGTAAAGGTACCCCTGACCGTTAGGTCCAGTCGCGGACGAATGGGGTTGCAGCGCTCATCTCGCTCTATAGGCCAAGGGAGCCGGCTTTTGGCGAACCAGAGCAGCACACGGAAATTCCATTTACCTTCCTGCCAGAGCAGTACCTATTTATCTACTTGCACTTTGACGTGCTTTCGAACTGCTATGTGGGCAGGAGCTGGGACTGAGCAACAGAAGCTCACCCCGCCGCAGGGATTCGAACCGCCGACCTTCCGATCGGCAAGCCCTAGGCTCCGTGGTTTAGACCACAACACCACCCATGTCCCCCTAGTTTATGATAGATTGAGATTATTTCTGAATGTTTTAAATGGTCATTTTAACTGTTGTTTTTTTACTGAAAACAAATATTGTTTTATTCTTTTTGTAAATAACTTTGTGGTTTTATTACAATCAAATATTATATAAATCTTCTGAAATAAATGCATATGATCAGAAGCAATATTTTAGCAGTGTTCTCAACAGTAGAATAAAATTGAGCAGTGATCTACCTTGTGGATAAAAACTAATACTTTTTGGTGGACTCCCTGTGACTGTGGATTCCCTCCACCCCATCTATTCAAAGAGCTGAATATTTTTCAGTTACTCTGTGTTTGGTAATTATGCTGGCAGTCGGGTTGATGGCCCCAGGTGCCAAGCACATGTGCTTATAGCTATACACTTGGCACCAACAGATAAACCTTCCTCGTTCCACTTTGATGATATTTTGCTTTTCATGTAATATCGGCAGTGGAACCGGGCTCGTACTATTTTAGTCTCTTGCGGACTTTCAACACAATTTAATTTTAACTAGCAACTCTTAATGATACATCGGGGTATGGAGAAATGTGCTGCTGATTTGTGAATGGAACCAAAGCATAATAGAACATTTTCAGTCTTGCAGGAGGGCATAATATTTGACCAGTGTTGCAAACAAACGAGTATGGGGGATGAGGTCAGTATGTTTCAGTGGAGAACATCTGGGTTGCAGTTCATGCTCAAAGTCCCAAATTTAGATTCACTTGGAATGTGTTTATCACATGCAATCCAAAATCTTTAAACATTCCCTGAGAAGCATAGTAAAGGCAAAGAATATTCCAGTCCTTACCATGTCAGTCATAGATCTCTTGTTCTCTGTTGCACTCCAGGAACCACCGCATCATTTCTTGTGCCAGTGTTGCAACCTGCTTGGGAGGATTATGTAAGCAATGTAGTAGTAGTAATAATAGTAATAGTATTGCTGTGAAGGCAGCTCTGTTGTCCATGGTAATGTAGGTAGCCTCAAAGTAAGTCACAGGAGGTATGGTTAGGTTCATTGAGCTGAACTTACAAACCCTATTTCTGTGTTTCTCTAGACACACAAGAGCTTAAAGTGGAGATACAACTAAGCTGGAAAAGGGTGTAGGAACTCTGCTTCAAACTTTTGCATGTTCAAAGAGTTTCTAAGTTGAACATACTTTGAAACCTCCTCTTGATTGGGAACCCTGCCTTTTCAGAAATCCTTTTCAGATCTTTACACTGAATGCAGATAGGAACAAGAGATTTCAAAAAATCATCATCATCATCTAGGGATAAAAAGAAAATGGCCCACTACAGGCTCACTTGAGGCAATGAATTGGGGAAACATTTTGTAGAATTGGGGGGGGGGAGACAAAATTATTTGTCATTGGGGTGGGATTTACTGAATAATGGTGGTAGTGAGGTCTGTTGGACTATTGGTTATTACAGTGGTACCTCGGGTTACATATGCTTCAGGTTACATACGCTTCAGGTTACAGACTCCGCTAACCCAGAAATAGTACCTCGGATTAAGAACTTTGGTTCAGGATGAGAACAGAAATAGTGCTCCGGTGGCGTGGCAGCAGCAGGAAGCCCCATTAGCTAAAGTGGTGCTTTGGGTTAAGAACAGTTTCAGGTTAAGAACGGACCTCTGGAACGAATTAAGTACTTAACCCGAGGTACTGACTGGTTCAGTAAATTGATTCATAGTAGCAGTGGCCACTTCTTTTTTCTTAAAAGCAGGGATGGGGAAACTTTGAGGCTCCAGGCATTACTGGTCTCCAACTTCCATCAGTCCTAGTCAGAATGGCCAATCGTCAGGGATGATGGGAGTTGTAGTCCAGATCCCACATCTGGATGGTCCCAGGCTTTTCATCCATTTCATAAAGGTGACCCTTTTGGTGGCCACCTTTCAGCAGCTATCATTTCACCATACGCACACTGCCTGCTCAGAATGACAGTGTGCCATTAACATAAGTTCGTAAATGCTATGGACATTGTTCCCAGGACATTCAGCCCTTACTGACTCCAAGACTCACTGACTCAGGGGGTGATGATGCTGACAGGCCTCCTTCACACACCTTTCAGGTGTTTGGGTAGTGAAGAGTAAAGAAAAGTTATGCTACTGATCTGATACTCAAACCTCTGGCAAGCAGCATGAGACAATGGGATGGACCAAAGTCTTTGCTCCATGAATGGAAGGAGATTCTGTTCATGGAAGAAGATTACCACTCATAAAAGAACCCTTTCAATAACTGGAAATCTCCTTCAGTTCATGGAACAAAAGCTGTCAATGACTCCTAGCCATGATGGCTATCTTCTGCCTCCACAGCTGGAGGCAGAAATGCT